TTATTTTTTAGTTCTCGGCAGACACAACATCTTTGTTGGTATGTGGTGCTGAGGATCGAACCCGGGCCGCACGCATGCCAGGCGAGTGCGCTACCGCTTGAGCCACATCCCCAGCCCAGTACAATTTCTATACCAAATGAACTTGGCACAGAATATTTCACTGTAACATGGTTAAGACTTTTTTTTTTTTTTTGCACGGGGTGGGGTGTGTGTGTGTGTGTGTGTGTGTGTGTGTGTGTGTGTGTGTGTGTGTGTGTGTGTGTGGTACTGGGGATTGAACCCAAGATTACTTTATTCCTTGGCTACTATGTCTCCAGCTCTTTTTTTTCTTATTTCAAGACAGAGCTTGCTAAGTGGCTTAGGGCCTCACTAAATTGCAGACTGGCAGTCCTCTTGCCTCAGCCTCCCAAGTTACAGGGATCACAGACCAGTAAGCCCAGCTGGCTAAGATTTTTGACATCATGAAAAAGAAATAAACATCTTCACCAATCTAATAGGGGGGAATCAATTATCCCACTTGGCTTAATTTTATTATAGTAATTAAAAATGTACTATGAAACCCTGTACATACTCTACATTACTGAATATTACATAACCTTCTTATATATGTTTTTTTTTTTTTCCCTTTTTTGCTTTACTGAGGATGGCACCGAGGCTGCTTTACCACTGAGCTACATCACTAGTCCTTTTAAATGCCAGGTGTGGTGGCACACACCTATAATCCCAGCAGCTCAAAAGGCTGAGATAGGAGGACTTCAAGTTCAAAGCCAGCTTCAGCAAATTAGCAAGGCCCTAAGCAGCTCAGTGAGATCCTGTCTCTAAATAAAATACAAAATAAGACTGGGGATGTGGCTCAGTGGTTGAGTGCCCCTCAGTCACCCCCCCACACACACCAAAAAAATCACTAGTCCTTTTAATATTTTGAGATGGGGGTCTTGGAAGTGCCAAACATCCAGCTAACCTTTCCTTTGAAAATAAGAAATGAACAGCTTTTCTGGAGTTAGCGCAAGACTTGGTATGAGTCAGGCATCGTGGTGCATGCCTGTAATCCCAGTAGTTCAGGAGGCTGAGGCAGGAGGATCAAAATTAAGAGGCCAGCCTCAGTAATTTAGCAAGACCCTAAGCAACTTAGTGAGACCCTGTCTCAAAATAAAAAAAATAGGGCTAGGGCTGCAGCTCAGAGGTAGAGCACTTGCCTTGCACACGTGAGACACTGGGTTGAATCCTCAGCACCACATAAAAATAAACAAATAAAGACATTTAAAAAATAAAAATCAATAAAGAAATTCAAAAGGCAGGGGGATATAACTCCTGGTAAAATACCTGTGGGTTCAGTCTTGGTACAAATAAACAAACAAAGCTAGGGTTGAGCCAGGTGCAGTGGTGCACACCTATAACTCCTTGACTTGGTAGTCTACAGCAGGAGACTGCAAGAAAGAGGCCAGCCTGGGAAATCTAGCAAGACCTTGTCAGAAAATAGAAAATGCTACGGAATATTGCTCAGTGGTAGAGCACTCCTAGGTTAAATGACTAGTACCACAAAAACATAACAAAATAAAAACTTAAAAAACCCTAACAACTAGGTTTAAAATCAGCCCCTATTAGCTGTGTAAACCCTCTTTCCTGTAAAAAAGGAATTAACATCTTTTTCAAATCTTATACAAAACCAAGAACATGTTTAGGAAAGTAGCTTATGCACTGAAAAATGAAATAATTAATTTAATACCTATTCAAATCAAAATGTGGATCTCATTCTTTAGAGATACATAATTACTTGGGTGAAATAATATGATGCCTAGGATCTGCTTTTAAATATTCCTACGAAAGTAGGGGAATAGGTAAAAAATCCAAAATATTGGGTAATTGTTATACTTACATAATAGGAGTTCATTATATCATCTTCTCTACTTCTGAATGGTTTGAAAGTTTTCAAAATAAATGCTGCCTCCATAAGAAAAACCACCCTACTAAATAACCCTTCAAGCATTTCAAAATTTACACAAAAATTTAAGCAATTTTAAAATACTAAGTTATTTAAAAATATCTCTAAGATATTATTCCATACCTTAAAGAGATTAGTCAAAGGCAAGGCAAAGGCATCCAGAACAAGCTTAATTTCAGTCCATAACTCATTTGACTTAAATTCATGACGATATCTAGAAAATTAAGGTAAAGTAGATAAATTTACAAATTTTGTTTACTCACTTTAGGTCTTCAAAGACGGATGTTCATTAAACATTTGAGTAGACAGACATCTATGACTAGATGATTTCCTGAAATTCAAAGGGAATTCTTGGTTTTCTTTTTAAAGGAATCAAAACTAATTATTTCACAGGCAATAGCCTAATATAAAATAAACATGTTACTTGAGAAGAAACAAACATAATAATGAACCAAAAGATTTATGCTCTTAATTTAGAATGGTACTACTCAAAGGAGTAAGAACAGTCACAAAAATATAACTATATAGCAAATATCATAGAAAAATCATATAAAGAAAATGAATTTCTACATTAATACCTTTTAAATAATGAATGTGCAGTACGAAGGACTCCATTAATAACATGGAAATCTCCACTCTGAAATCGATTCACCATTTCTGTCAACAAGTCGGGCCATTTCTGAGGGAAATCTTCTCTGCCAATAATACTAATAGCATCACTCAACTGGGGAAGGAACAGATGAATCAGATGACTGTCGTACCCAGGAGCCTACCTAAAAAGCAGAGATACATTACCTGCTTCTGAATTTGCTCTGGGCTGCTCAGCATCAGGTGCACGATGTTGGCTTTAATGGCTACTCGATCAGCTTCACAAATTTTGTTCAGCTCATCTTCAACCTAAAAGAAAACATCAATGAGTACCATGAAATCCATATTCATATATAAGTCTGTAGGTAAAAAACAGAACACTTTTAATTTCCCAGTTTTCCAGGGCGGGAAAAAAAAAAAAAGAAGGTAGGCTGTTTTCCTTAGTTTCCCTCTACATAAATGGGTCACAAATTCCTTTGATAATCTGATGAAAGCATGAACCTTCTCCTCTACACTCCTTCCCAAATTTAAATATTTCAAATATAAATAATGAGGTTCTCTGACTGCCTAATGCCAGTTAAGAATTTCAGTTCTGGAAAGGAAGGTAGCTCAGTGGCAGGAATGAAAGAGGCCCTGGATTCAATCCCCAGCACTACCAAGACAAAAACACTTCAGTTCTATATATAAACTAATCAGCAAAACACATGGTTAAGATTCTATTTATTTATTTATTTGTTTGTTTGTTTATTTATTTATATGTATGTATGTATTTTTTTTAGTTGTAGATGGACACAATACCTTCATTTTATTTGTTTTTATGTGGTGCTGAGGATTGAACTCAGTGCCTCCCATGTACCAGGCAAGCGCTCTACCACTGAACTATAACCCTAGCCCTGGTTAAAATTCTTTATAGAATTTTAAAAAGCTTCATTTTTAAAAGCTTCAAGTAAACTTTTACCTTACTAGTTAAAATGCATCTTAGACGGTATCACACAAAGAGGTTCTAGAATTCTCTAGTTTTATAAGGAATGAACTTTTAAGCAGGCATTTTAAGAGTTACCAAATCATTTCACCTATATGGTAATAGTTGACTATAATTGTTTTGTGAAATCTTCTACAGGATCAAGAAAAAAGATCCTAAATATTTAAGCAAGTTTAAAGCTGACTTTTAGAACTGAGAATCTTTGTCAATTTTAATGGTTTCTCAAATCCAGAATTATTGATGTGGGGACAAGTGCACAGAGTACTGCATGCATGGTATATGTTAAGGGAGTGGCAAACCACTCCCCAGTGCTAGGCATGTGAGCGGCTAACCGCTAACCCCTAACCCCTGGCACAGCCCTGGGCCAGAGGCTGCACGTTATATTCCCTGCACTTGCTCCATGGCCCGCTCTTCGATTGGTCGCTGTAGGAACAATTGGCCAGAAATTCTATTGGTGGCTGCCTGTAACCTGCTTAGTTGCTACCTGAGTATATTTACATGGTAACTGTGCAATAAAATCAGACCTGCTTCCTGCTTGGCCTCCAGAGGTCTTGATAGTGACTCCCTAGCCACACTCTCCTCTACCCTGTTCCGTGGACCTCCTCACTGGACGAGAGAGAGCCCACGCACACTGATATCTTGGACCAGATAACTCTTTGTTGCGAGGAGCTACTTTGTACACTGCAGGATGAACAGAATCAGGCTTTGGCCTCTACTCACCACAGGCTAGTACTGGCCCACAACTATGACATCTCCAGATATTGCCAAATGCCTCCATTAGTGGGCAAAACTACCCTCATTTGGGAATCATTGTTGTGTGTGAAAGTAGGGAAAATTTATTATTTCCCTATTTCTTTATTCATAATTTCACATAAGCTGTTAAACTTGTAGCACAAGAAAGTTTCCCTGTAATAAATCAGAACATATCTCCATATCCTACAAGACATAGGACAATCAAAATCTTTTACCAAAAATTAAAAATCTAGCCGGGCATGGTGGCGCACGCCTGTAATCCCAGCAGCACAGGAAGCTGAGACAGGAGGATCAAGAGTTCAAAGCTAGGGGCTGGGGATGTGGCTCAAGCGGTAGCGCACTCGTGGCCCTGGGTTCGATCCTCAGCACCACATACCAACAAAGATGTTGTGTCCGCCAATAAGTAAAAAATAAATATTAAAATTCTCCCTCTCTCTCTCTCTAAAAATAAATAAATAAATTAATTTATTAAAAAAAAAAAAAACAAAACAGTTCAAAGCCAGCCTCAGCAAAAGTGAGGCACTAAGCAACTCAGTGAGACCCTGTCTCTAAATAAAATACAAAATAGGGCTGGGGATGTGGCTCAGTGGTTGAGTGCCTCCGAATTCAATCCCTGGCACCGCCCCCCCACACACAAAAAATTAAAAATCTAAATTATTTTGCATTCCATTGGGGGGGGCTTTTTTTTTTTTAAGATGGAGGTCTCACAGTATTCTTAGGCTGACCCTGTCCTTCTGCCTCTGTCTCCTAAATAGTTGGTATTATAGGAACATACCACTATACTCAGCTTAAAATTCCAATATGTGATTTTTTTCAGTTTTAATTTTCCCAGTCCACAACATCAGTTACTTCAATTATTCATTTAGACTCTCTTCTCACATATCATCTCTTCAATAGGAATTGACCTAGAGTTAAATTTCAATCATAAAGGAGATTTAAATCAAGTCACACACTTCAGCAACCTGTTATGAGTTGAAAGAATCAGTAAAAATTCAAATGAAGTAATTTAAATTTTGGGGAACAGGTCCTATTTAATTTTAATCTGTGTCTCAATCTCTTAAGAGCACTGGTTTTTATAAATCTTAAAAACACACATCCACAAAATACGTACAATTCTCCAGTTCCTTTTAATATAGTTTTTGAATGTTACTGAAGCACAAACTTTGATGACATTATCTTGGGACTTCTCCAATAATGTTAAAAGCAACAGTGGATAATTCTGATTTCCTTCTACAGATTCAAGAAATTTCTCAGCTGTAAAAGAATTTTCATGTTAGAAGACTTGTAATAATCAAAATCTTTGCACTTTATATTCATATAAACTAGGTATATCTTTAAGTAAAAGGATCAAAAATTTAAATATTAGGATATTGTCCCTTAGAACCCACTGAAGGTCTATAGGGCCTCATGTTTCTTATCTACTACAATGTTTATATGGCATTATATAATGCTTCAATTTCCAAATCACTTTATCATCCATTAATTCATCTGATTCTCACACAACTATGAAATGTCCCACTGGGATGATCACTTCACGTGAAGAAACTGCTTCCCAAAGAGATTAAATAACTTTAAGGTGAAAGCAATATATTCTGTCTTGTTCTAGAAAGAATTATTATTAGTAATATTAATACTAGCATTTCTTTTATAGGACTGGGATGAAAATCAAATGAGTTAATTCATGCTAAAATTTATTTTTAGCCATGTGGTTCTGGTGTGGTGCTTTACCCATATACATTATTTCATTAAGTTATCACTATTACCCAGAAAGGTGGTAGCATCTTCATTTTACTTATTTATTTATTTTTGAAGCAGGGTCTTGCTAAGTGGCTGAAGATGGCCATGGACATTTAATCCTCGGTCCTCAGCCTCCTGAGTCACTGGGATCACAGGCGTACACCACCAATGCCCTGATATCCTCATTCTGCAGTCAAGGCCATTGAAAGTTTGAGCTAAGAAGCTTTCTTCACTGAAAAAGTTTTAGTCTAATCTTAATTCTATCATACCAGCCCTAAACTTAGTCCTGAGTATTAGAAATGAACTTACACCAAGATTTTACCCAGATATTTTCAAACCATTTAACACTCTGGGATAAATTTCCAAGATTTATTTATCTCAGTGAAAGACAGTATTTGTTTTAATTTTTCCTACTGTTTCATAAGGAAATAACCATTCCCAAATTCCAATAATTTTTGAAAAGCTCCACCCGTAATCTTTTATTTTCCAGAATTCAATAGCACCACTTAACATCTTCCCTTTTTATGGATGTAGTCCCAAGAGTTTAACAAACATCCTCAAACCCTTCCCTATTTGTGTATATTATGCCCTTCTTGAAGAATGAGGATTGGTGATTTGAAAATGTTTTCAAGAGGGAATATTACTGTGGTTTTGTATGAGTACAGGTTTTGGTTGTCTGACTACCTTTTTAAGGGTCAGCATTTCATATAGGGCCAACACACTTTATTTATGATTTGGGGAAAAGCCCAAATCTCTTTACTAATTGCAATCAATACTGTGGAAGCAATCTTCTCACAAGTTTGTCTACTCCTTTCCGTGTCCATTTCCTTCAACTAGAATACTCTACTGACATGCTTCCGCATATTCATGAAGCCTCAATAGGTCTTCCAGTTCATCCATGCGACTGTCACATTCAATTGAAGTACCTATAAACTAGGATTTAAACACATTTCCATTTCCAGAACACACTATAAAGATATTGATTGCCTAGCATATGTAAGGCCCTGGGTTTGATCCTCAGCACCACCAAAATGAAAGGGGGGGATTATTTCTACACTATGTCCTGGATTCATAAAGCATAGTACCCTAACCTTTCAAAGATATACATACATAACTCTGTGTGTTTGTGTGTATACACATGTATACACACATACATTTACATCCATTTATTTTATTTTTATAGTGCCAGGGGTTGAAACCACGGCCTCAAGCATGCTAGGTAAGCACTCTACCAGAACTACATCTCTGGTTGCTAAAAAAAAAAAAAAAAAAAAAAAAAAAAAATTGTTCAGCCTTGCTTGTGCTAGGCAAGTGCTCTACCACAGAGCTACACCCCCAGTTCCCTAAAAATATTTTTTAATAGGCAGTGTTGTCAAAGGTTTTCCGAGAAATTCTAAGAAGATTAAAGTCATTAACTTACCTTTATTCAGAAACACATTATTTCTTCTTCCTTTTTTTTTAATGTTTATTTTTTAGTTGTAGGTGGACAAATAAAATAGCTTTATTTTATTTTTATGTGGTGCTGAGGATTGAACCCAGTGCCTCACACATGCTAGGCAAGCACTCTACCATTAGGTCACAACCCCAGCCCAGGGACACATTACTTCTTTAAGCACTAATAAGAAAATCAATTTGCCTTCTCAGAAATCACCCACATGCCAGAGGTGGTGGTATGCACCTATAATCCCAGTGGCTGTGGGTAGGAGGGCAGGTGTGGAAGGATGCCTTGTCAGAAGGATCACAAATTCAAAGCCAGCTTCAGCAACTGAAACCCTAAGCAACTCAGTAAGACCCTATCTCTAAATAAAATACAAAAAATAGGGCTGGGGGGATATGGCTCAGTGGTCGAGTGCCCCTGAGTTAAATCCCCAGTACCCCCTCAAAAAAGAGAGACACAAAGTCTTCTTTATGAGCATGACATTAAGAAAGTTCTGGGGCTGGGATTGTGGCTCAGCAGTAGAGCTCTTGCCTAGCACGTGGGAGACCCTGGGTTCGATTCTCAGCACCATATAACATAAATAAATAAAATAAAGATATTAAAAATGTTAAAAAAAAAAAAGAGAAAGTTCTGAATAAGCAAGTTAGGAGTATTTCTGGTTAAAATGTCTTACATCAAGGACCACCAACTGACTGCTCATAAGACCTATCTGTTCTCCAGAAGCAGTGTATTTAGTTTTCATTGTCTCAAATTATTAATTAAAAATAAATAAAAATATGTGTGTATGTATACACACACACACATACATACACATATCCAGGGGCACTTTACCCCTGAGTTATATCCATAGTACTCCTTCCTAAGTTTCTTTTAAAATAATTTTTTTAGTTATAGGTGGACACAATACCTTTATTTTATTTATTCATATGTGGTGCTGAGGATTGAATCCGGTGCTTCACATGCGCTAGAGGGCACTCTACCTGAGCCACAATCCCAGTCCCTCCTTTTTAAATTTTTGACAGGATCTAAGTTGCTGTATGTTGACCCTGAACTTGTTACCTTCCTGCCACAGCCTCCTGAGTCACTGAGAGCACATCACCATTCCTGGCCTGTTTCTGTTTTTTATTTTTTTCCCCCTGAAGTTAGTTGCTATCATTTAAATGAGAGCTAGATGGGATGGTGCATGCCTGTAACCCCAGTGACTTGGGAGGCTAAGGCAGGAGGATTTCAAGTTCAAGACCAGCCTCGGCAACTTAGCAGAGCCCTAAGCAACTTAACAAGACCTTGTCTCAAAATAAAAAGAAAAAAGGGCAGGGGATGTACGTAGCTCACTGATAAAGCACATTTGGGTTCAATTCCCAGTACCCTTCATCAAAATATGAGAACACTTCATATAAATATCCTTATTTTTCAAGCAAAGTTAGAAATGTGATCTAATAAAATTGGCTTGAATCTCCAGATTTAGCTGGTTCCAAATAATATTTGTCCCTTAACCAGGGCATGTACTGATAAGATGTTACCAGTCCCAACTTGGCTGATCTCCCTCATTTATCTTCACATCTGACTCCTATTGAACATCCGTGGTTGAAATTCTAAGGTTATATGGAGTGTGTAATGGAAACTGGTCAAACTCAGGAAGGGAAAAAAAAATCTAGGTCTTAGAAAAGATACTAATTAAGTCAAAATGCACAGGAGGATAAAGAGATAAGATCTGATTATTTGGCTCTATTCACTTAATCACTTTTTAAGCAATTACTCTTATCTCTATGCCTAATTATTTTACCTATAAGGTAGGCAGGTTTTAAGCAAGGCTTTTCAGGAAAGCTAAGGGATAAAACATTCTGAACAAATACTTTTCTAAGCATTCTAAGATAGTACCATTTATCCCAGAAAAGGACAAGCAAATGTGATTTTACTCAAAAACAAAGAAATCATTAAAACACCACGAAATAGCAGTTATAAGCAGCCACTCACTACACACTATAAACTAAGCAAAAGCATCCAAGTGCAAAACTTTCATCTTCTGAATTTACAACCAATCAGATAAAGATTACCCTCAACTCCCTTTAAAGAATTAATCAGGGGCTGCGATTGTAGCTCAGTGGTAGAGCATTTACCTAGCCATGTGTGAGGCACTGGATTTGATTCTCAGCACCACATACAAAGAAATAAAAAAAAAAAAATAAAGGTCCATTAACAACTTAAAAAAAAAAAGAATTACTCAACCAGAAAGTAACATTTATTCTCTTTACCTGGACGTCTGATGGCAGGATCAGGATCAAGGGTCTTTTTTAAATATTCTGTTAGTGTTTGCAGATTTGCATCACTGAGCTCCATTGCTATAGAATCTAAAAAAAAAAAAAAAACAAAAAAAAAAAAACATAAATGAAGTATGGTAATTGGTTACTTAGGGACACAGTGATTTACATATATGAAGCTTTTCATATGTGGATTTTCTCTCTGAAAGTCATGCATTTGTATTCAATAAGGGCTATAAATAAGCCTGACTCAACTAAGACAAAAATTCAGAAGATGGGCTCTTAAAAAAACAAGTGATAAAATTCTGATAAGTGAGAACAAACATTCCATAACCAATAAGTTTACATGATTTAACACTATTTAAAAAGCCCAGTAAAGGGTGAAAAATTACTCTCAAGCAATGGTTTTAATAAGTCCCACGGCAAGAAATTAACATTTTTCTTTAGTTTGAGTCAGTTCTGCTTTGTTGCCCAGGCTGGTACTAAATTTCTGAACTCAAGTGATTCTTCTACTCAGCTTCCCAAATAGTTGGGGCTATGAGCACACCTTCATCCCCAGTTGCAAAATTAAAATTTTAAGCAGAAACCAGGTGCATAGTTGTAAACCCAGCTACTCAGGAAGATGAGGCAGGAGGGTCTTGGCCAACTTAGTGAGACCCTGGGTTCTGAACAAACAAAAAAGGCAGTGAATAAAGATCTGATAAAAAAATTCTGAGATTAAAGAAGGTAGAATACATTCCTTTATGTACAATATGCAATGACAAGTACTCACTACAAACTACATGCCAAAAATTTACATTTAGGGAGATAATTCTAGAGCCCAGAAGATGACAAGTTGTGATTATGATTTTGAAAATTAGAAAAATGTTTTCTTAAAGCTTAAAACAAAAATCACAAAATATGCTTATGATTGACCAAAATTTTCACAAATAATCCTACTAATTTTAAGCTAAATAAATGGCCTATGTAACTATAAGTGATAAAATAGGATAGAAATACCCACATAAATCAAGAGATTGATCATACAGCATGAAGACTATAATTAATAGTAATACATTGTATACTGAAAAATTACTGAGTAGATTTCAAGCATTCTTACCACACACACAGATGGGACTGGGTAAAGGTTTCCCGAGGACACATGAGGTCTTGGGTTTGATTCACAGCACCAGAAAGGGGTGGGGTAGGGTGGGGTAACATCTACTAATTAGCTTGATTGAGGCATTCTATAAATGTATATACATTTCAAAATATTCTGTTACGCACCATAATATCTGTAATTTTGTCAATTAAAAAGAGAAAAATACATGTAGAAAAGAACCATCCACACAGATTACAAGTGTCATTTGTGCCATGTACATTATTACATACTAACCAAAAATCCTGGAAATGGAACAGGGGATGTGGCTCAAGCAGTAGCACGCTTGTCTGGCATGCATGCGGCCTGGGTTCGACCCTCAGCACCACATACAAACAAAGATGTTGTGTCCGCCAAAAACTTAAAAATAAATATTAAAATTCTCTCTTTAAAAAAAAAAATCCTGGAAATGTTTACAACAGAGCTTTGTGGTCTTTGAGTTGTTGGTGAGAATTAAAGTGCAAAACTAGAGACTTTTAGACAAGGCAGTGTTCTAAAATTGGTCTGTAGTACACAACTAAAAAATTTGCTAAAACTCATTAAATGGTATTCTTAAAAAAAAAGTTTACAGAAAGTAAATTATAAATAAATGCAGTAAAACTATTTAGAAAACTCAATGTATGTTTAAAACCCATTAGGCAGCTTTCAGACACACAGCTACATGTAGCTGGCAAGAGAACTGGGAAAATGTAGCCTTTTCAGGGAAACCAAGTACCAAAACAACCTGAGGCTTCTATGACAAAGGAAAAAAAATACATAATTTATGTAAAATGGAAAAAAGTCAAGGGTGCCATCATTCAAATTATGTCATCAGCCAGCTGCAATGGTGCACACCTATAATCCCAATGGCTCTGGAGGCTGAGACAGGAGGATCTCAAGTTCAAAGCCAGCCTCTGCAAAAGCAAGGCACCAAGCAACTCTGTCTCTAAATACAAAATAGGGATAGGGATGTGGCTCAGTGGCGGAGTGCCCCTGAGTTCAATCCCAGGTACCCTCCCCAATTACATATATAAAAACTGTACCAAAACAACAACAAAAACAAACCTACACTCTCAAATGTAAACAGTCTAAACACGTATGTGATGGATACAGGAAATTTTTATTCTCTTCAAATTTCTCCTCTAATGTCCTACAATTACCTATATGTATTATATATTTATAGTCACAAAGTTTAAAAATTTTATTTTAGTTTTTAAATGTCTATAACAAAAGTCATTTAAATTCCTACCCTTCATACTAGCTGGGAAGACAAGACACAACTGAAATGCCACGTACAGGCCTATGATCCCTTTTTGCAATCTTTTTTTTTTTTTAGTTGTCAATGGACCTTCATTTTATTTATGTGGTGCTGAGAACTGAATCTAGTGCCTCACATATGCTAGGCAAGCGCTCTACCACTGCGCCACAACCCCAGACCCCCTTTTTTGCAATCTTGAAGTGCAAAACAAATGATAAATTGGAAGGTTTTGTTTCTTTTTTTACAAGTATTTGGCAAACTCATTTGTCAGCATAACCTGGCCTAAACTGCCTGAAACTACAATTTTTGTTTATCTCACTTATCATGTAAATTTGTTTTACTAAAGAAATACTAACAAGGGATAGGGGTGTGAGTCAATGGTAGACCCCTTCCCTGCCACTTACAAGGTCCTGGTTTCCATCCCCCAGCATTACAATAAAAAACAAAAACAAAAAAACAACTATTTGTGTCTGATTGCAAGCTATTGTCCTAAGCCCCACTAGGGATGTCACACAATCTATACTATGTGCATACAAAAAAATTATTAATTATGGGACAGGGACATATCTGTCCCCTGAAGTGTCAAATGAATCCCACAGACAGCATCTCAAGTACTAGGAGGTGAAGAAGAAAGTCTCTGGAGTGAGGCTATCCAGGATCTAAGTCTTAAGCTGAATCTTGAAGATCTTCAGATTTAGAGAGGCAAAACAGAAAGAGGACCCATCTCACAAAAGAAATAGTGTAAAGGAATCAACAGGAAGAGAGGAATAGTGGATAAGGAGAATAAGATCAGATCATGGAGGGTTCTCAATACTTGGATGAAGAGTTTCAGGACAGTATACCACAGGAAGCCATTGAAGGTTTTTTTTAAGATTTATTTTTTTAGTTGTAGTTGAACACAATACCATTTATTTATTTATTTATTTTAATGTGGTGCTGGTGATTGAACCCAGGGCCTCCCACATGCTAGGCAAGCGCTCTACCGCTGAGCCACAACCCCAGTCCCCCCACTGAAGTTTTTTTTTAAAGAAAGTGTAGCATAGGAACTCTGGGCTGGCAATGGTCTACAGGATGGAGTCAAAGGAAGGGAATTAGAGAATATTATAAAGCAGGGAGGCTTTATAATATGTTTTTCATCATTTACTTCACACAATCACTTTATATAACATAAAATGAAACTCAGGTTTAACTTACTTGCCCTCAAGTCACACAGTTAATAGTCAGACGTGGTGGCACACACCTGTAATCCCAGGAGGCTGAGATGATCACAAATTTGAGGTCAGCCTCAGCAACTTAGGGAAAGCCGGTCTCAAATTAAAAAATAAAAAGAGCTGGGGTTGCAGCTCAGTGGTTAAGGGCACCAGGATTCAATCCATAGTAACAAAACAAAACAACAACAAAATCCAGATGTAAATCAGTCTGACTCTAAATGTTTTCCCTCAGTCTACTACCCAAGGCTACCTCTTTAAGTAGAAATAATGAGGAGATTAAATGAGGGTAGAAGCTCAGAGAAAACAATAGAAAGGCTGATGTGAAAAGAGGGCAGCCAGAGAAGAGGGAAACAAGTAATCAAAGATGACTCGATTCTGAACAGTACTGTTTTGAATAGCATTGTTACAAGGTCGGGGGACTTCATCTTGAAACAAAAAAGCTAAAAAAAAAAATAAGGGAAGGGTCACATATAATGCAGTGCATGAGCATGCACAATGCAGGTTGTTCAGCAGCCAGAAACCAAGACCTTCTAAGGACAATTATCTATTTGAAACTATCCGTATTCTCTTTACTTCAGTCTTCCCCTAATTACAATTTTTTTTTTTAATCACAAGGGAAACCAAGAAGATTGAGTGATTTAAGGCTCCATCAAGCTGAGTACAGTAGTCCACGTCTTTAAACTCAGACATTCAGGCAGTTGAGGCCTCCAGGAGGATCACAAGTTTGAGCCCAACCTCAGCAATTTAGCAATGCCCTAAGCAACTTAATGAGACCCTGTCTCAATTAAAAGGGGGGGGCACCTAGGATGTAGCTCAGTGGTTAAGCACCCCTGGGTTCAACCCCTGGTATAATCCTCCCACATACACACAAAAGGATTCCACCACCTAGCTGTTCCCTCTGCTTGACTCAGAGCAAACCCTCTCAGTGTAAGCATCAAGTCCCAATCAACCACACATACAATTTATTGAGACTACCTTTTCTTGTTTTTTTGTATTAAAAGTTTGGAAAATGCTACCTATTATATCCTGCCACCCTCTGGATATTCACAACACAAAGCACTTTAAAGGGGCTGGGGATGTGGCTCAAGCGGTAGCGCACTCGCCTGGCATGCCTGTGGCCTGAGTTTGATTCCCAGCTCCACATACAAAGATATTGTGTCCACCGAAAACTAAAAAATAAATATTAAAAAAAAAGCACGTTAAAGATTCAAGAACTCAGTAAGTTCTTGAATTTACATTATTTAATCCAGTTTCCCCCGTTTCTTGGCCATACAATCCCTTTCCTATGGAACACACTTCGGAAAATAATGATTTAGTGAATCCATTTTCCTCTTTTTTTTTGCAGCCACAGGGAATGAACCCAGGGCTTTACACATACTAGGAAGGCACTGTAAAACTGAGCTAGGTGACCTTTCTAAATTTTATTTTCAGAGTGTCTCACTACATTGCTGAGTCTGGCCTTAAAGTTTTGATCCTCCTGCCTCAGCCTCTCTAGTAACTGAGA